TAATCTCTACCAAATTCTTTTCAATGAAAAATTATTTTTTTGATTTTTTGTGAACTATGATATGCTAGTCGTATGAAAGCAATTAAAACAAGTATTAAACAAAAATTAAACTACCTAAACGTGTCCTAATGTGAGAGCTTGAAAGATACCAAAGATCATTCAAGGACCACTCTCACAAAGTACTAACAAAAATGTTCACCTAAGGAGAGATGGTTGTGTACCAAAGGCACACCCAAGACACTCCTTTAAAATGGCCAATTACAAGATATTGACAAAGCTAAACAGCAAAGAACAAGTGGCTTAAAGAAAATTAGAAAAACAGCCACCAAGAATTAGTGATGGATTAGTGACCAAATTTGCAACAAAATTTTCAAATTAGTAAGGAAATATTGGTCTCTAAAAATCCGTCACTAATGCTTTTATATATATTTTTTTTTTACAATCAATTACAAAGTCAAATTGAAACTCCAAAAGTCTTCACGGCTGATCCAATCCAGCAATCACAAATTTTCCAGCCAAGAGTGTTTATGGTGTATATTTTGAAGTAGCCAAATCCGAGAGCCACCTATGTCCTTTCCTCCTCCTTTCCTTAGGCTCCTTTTGATGACCCTTGTAGAACTAGCTTCTAGGAAGATAGGCTAGGTCAAACTTAGGCCACACTTAAGTTTAATCAAGGATAATAACAGCAAAGAGAATTGAAGAATTAAGGAACATAAGAATAGAGTAGGAAATGACAAGTTTAGATGACACAATCAAGTAGTTGACTAGAACAAGAAGAAGTTGACCTAAGATTAGTTCTAGAATAGATGCACAAAACCAAAACACTCAAAGATATGTGAACTGAAAATTTAATGATTCAAGAACAAATATAAACCGAGAAGAAACAAATGAGAATTCAAACTCCTTAATTGGCTTTTGCTTTTCAAATTAGGTTTAGCATTTTTTTTCTTCAATTTGTTTTGAATTTTCTTTTGATCTTTTTCTTCTAATTTTTTTTTAATCTTTAGGAGTTGCCTTTTACTGTCCAAAATTTATGAATCATATAAGTCTCGGTCACCTTAGGAACACTAAAACCGAATCCAAAATTGAAGTGCCAAATGACAAGCAAATAAGGTTCAAATTCAAGTCAAATGAGTCATGCTTTTTATGCTTGTAAATTTAGAAGACACATGCACGGTTTTAGGCTCCAAAATTCAAATTCAAATTTGAATCACAAACACAATTTTCAGCACTCCTTTAATCATTCAAGATCAAAACACTCACGGATTGAAGAAAAAATTTAAGACATTTTCAGATTTTTGGAAACCTACAAAATTTTCTAAGAAAACTATTAATGATCTAATAGTAGTTTATGAACTCAATCAAAACAAAATTATGAGCTTATACCAAATGATTGTGGATCTCGGCCAAATCCAGAAAAAATAGTTCAAGTTTCACTCCAAAAAAAATTCAAAAGGATCAACAAGCAATGCTAAGAATAATGAACATACAAAGAGCTACACAAACCTACTAGACATGGATTCAAAAATAAAACAACAAGACTCAAACAATCAATGACCGAAAAAGATTTCAAGTATGACTCAAAGAAATTAAAAAGTTCATAGGCAGAAAATTTCCTAAAAGGCACATGAGTGGAGCATGATTCATGGAAGCATATTATCTCAAAAGCATAATGAATCATTCAAGCAAACAAGAAACTAGATCCATCAAATTTAACGGCTAAAATTAGATCTAGGAATGAAGAAACTCTCATGTGACAAGACTCAAGACAAGTATGAACTCAAGATGAACACAAGAAGAAAAAGCCACGGATCACAATATCAAAAGACAAGAACTAGACTTATCTCTTGAAGAAACCGGATGCTCTTGATACCACTTGATGTGCTTCCACTTGGAATGCACATGGATGCTTCAAGTCTTCACGGATGTCCTTGGATGAAGCGTCAAGGATGGAGGTTCCACGAAGACTCAATGTGACCTAAGCTTGCATTCAAGCTAAGTCCAAAGAAGATTAGGGATCCTAGCTCTACAAAGAGGTGCACTCAAGGAGGGTAGAGTTTCAGAAATTGGTGACTCCGGAGGGATGAATTTTAGAGAGAATAAAACTCATCAATATAATCCAAAGTAATACAAGTCTCGGCCAAAGATGTCTTTATAGGAGTAAATTAGGTTAAGGTGACCTTGGGTTAGCCTAAGGTTAAGTAGAACCAAGGTAAGGTTCACTTAACCTTAGGCGCCCAAAATTTGAATTCAAAATTCAAATTTTGGTGCCTAAATCCGGATCACCCGATGTGCTAGTTCATTTGGCATGTAATTAGAATCCCATTTGAATTGCATTTCGGATCACACCATGTGCATGTGTTGCACATGGCCGAAATGCACATCAAATGTGTTTCTAATTACATGCTAATGTAACTTCACATGTAACCTAAATAACCCTAAATCCAAATGACCTCTAAATGCAAATCCTAAGCTACATGGCCAGAAATAGAAGGCCCAAAAGAAATACAAGGCACTAAGGCCCAATCCTACACTAACCCTAATCTAATTGGGCTTGAGACAAAGCCCAACAAAATAAAGTGGTGGGCTTCTCTTGGGCTTGGGCTCACTCTTCATGCATCCTTCTTGCCATAAGTAATGTATGCCTTCTAGATAATGCATCAGCTACAATATTTGATTTTCCTTTCTTGAATTTAATAATATATGGAAATTGTTCAAGGAATGTAGACACCCAATTTCGTCTAGGGGGCATACAAATAATAAGATAAGACATCAGAGGGCCCAAAGGCCCAAATCAACTTTTTTTAGTGGCCCGGAACGGGCCGTTCCAAAATCGGAACGGGCTGTTCCCAAGTCCGGAACGAGCCTTTCTCGATTTGGACCGGGCCGTTCCGAGGCTTCTAAAAGGCCTAAAAAATATAGGTTGGAACGGGCCGTACCGAACCAATCAAAGGGGCTAAATTTTTTACCCCAGAATGGGCCATTCTCACTTCAAAATGGGCCGTTCTGGTTCCCCGGAACGAGCCGTTCTGATTTCAGAACGGGCCGTTCTAGGGTACGAAAAAGCCATTAACGTTCAGATTCAGAACGGGCCGTTCTGAATCTAGAACGGGCCGTTCCGGCCCATGTCTGATGCCTATAAGTAAGAAATCTCAGGCACAGTTCAAGGGACCCCGAAAATTTCGTCCAGCACTCTCTAGAGCTCGAAATTTCTCTCTTTTTTTCTCTCTCTCTCTCCTATTGTATTTCTTGAGTATTGTGAGGCATTTGTGTGTGTGAAAGGTTGCCATAAAGCACCTACAATTTTCATATTGGAAGATCTAACAAAGCTTGCTACGAGGTATTTTAATCAATCTTCTTCTCTCTCTTTTATTTCTTATCTTTGATAAATATTTTATAATAAAAGCAATCATGTAGATATTTTAAAGTTAATTGTTTAATTTAAATTTCAAGCATGTAAATATTATCAATAAAAGGGGATTTAATATTTATATTATTATTATTATTTATAATGTTAACTTCGTCATAGGGTACCGATTAAGGGCGTTGTAGGGGTGCTTAATACCTTCTCTACACGTAACCGACCCCCGAACCCAATTCTGGTTATCAAGGCCATTATTGGACTTTTAAAAACATTTTCTTTTTCCAATGTTTTGAGTAAAATATTGGTGGCGACTCCATGAACCTATTTTCAAAACCATTAATTAAGGATTAGTCTGGTGTCCGGGCATTCCTTAATTGATGAGACTTTAAAAAGGATGTATAAACCATATGTCCCGAGATCGGACAAATTCGGGTTGCGACAGATGGCGACTCCACTGGGGACGTTTAAAGAGGGTCAGGCCCATTTAATTGATGAAGTTAATAAAATAAAAAATAATAATTTAAATATTTTTCCCCTTTACTTTGTTTGCTTTATTTATTTGGCTTTATTATCTGTATGGTTGTTTAAATTTCGCACATGTTTGAATTAACAAATTGCACACAAACCATAGCACACAACAGTCCCCCTACACCTGGGGGCATGAGGGTATTAAACATAGGGAGTGGTTGACGTACAACCGGCCCAAGTTTGGCCTTGGAGCCTGCGAGCCTTGTCAGAAATCACACTCAAGGTGATAACCGGTTACTCTAGCCCGAAATACTGCGACAGACCTTAGAGTTTGCCAGGTGACGGCGACAGAGATACTGGGTCCCTATAATGGGGGCACCTTGGGGGCCTTAAGACCAGTGAGATTAGAACTGTCTTATACAATGCACTTTTCTTAATAGGGACCACAGACCATGGATTTATACGCGACTGTTTATGGATTGTATGAGCATATGTTTGTTGCATTTTGTCTATTCAAATCATTCATTTATTTTTTATAATTTCCTAAGATAAAGAAAAACACACAAAAAATTAAAATGCATTATCATGTGAGAGAAAACCTAGTGTGAAAATAAGATATGTGAGAAGCATATATTCCTTCTTTTTTTTAAAAAAAAAAAAAAAGAGGGGGGCATCATGCATTTTCTACAAAATAAAAAATATATAATAAATAAAAGGATAACAAAAAAAAGGAACATGCATATCATATATTTAGGATCACAAGGGGATTTGTATCAAAGATCAGAAATCAGTGTGACCTCTGTCACATCATAAAATATTATGAAGAGGAACACCGATAACTCACCTCTCGACAAGGATGAGCCATCAAGTCTTTGATAGAAACTTCTTTCATGCATTACCATTTAAATAAGTTTGATAGAAAACTGTCTTATCCCTTAAAGGTGGCTTTTCAACATTCCATACTCATACGAGCTCAAAAGATAAAAGCTATGGAAGGCCTAGACGAAAGAAACCGTGTCCTCAATGAGGAGCTTGAACAGCTCAAGGAACAAATGGCTAGAATGCTTGAGGCCATGAACAAATTGCAGCACAACAATAGTACTAGCAACGTCGGCGACGTTTCCAAAGTCATCTGAACGCCTGGGAAGAAAGACTGAGAGTTGTGGAAGGTCACAATTTTGACGTTCAAGAGGCTGCGAATATGTGCTTGGTGCAGGATATCCAATTCCCCGCCAAGTTCAAAATCCCTGACTTCCAAAAATACACCGGAGCCAGTTGTCCAAAAGGACATCTAACAATGTATTGTAGGAAGATGGCAGCCTATGTGAGCAATGAAAAGCTCCTGATACACTATTTTCAGGAAATCCTTTCAGATGCTGCTCTCAACTGGTACATGCAGCTGGATGGAGAGAAGATCCAGACATGGAAACAGTTAGCCGACGCCTTTTTTCGTCGGTACAAGTACAGCATCGACCTAATTCCTAATAGGTCTGATTTGCAAAGCTTGAGCAAGAAGGGCGACGAGTCCTTCAAAACCTATGCACAGAGATGGAGAGAAATGGTTGAGCAAGTAGAGCCTTCATTGTCTGATAAAGAGATGGTGACAATGTTCATCAATTCTTTAAGTGGACCCTATTATGAAAAGATGAAAGGGAACACTCCGACTCTCTTTGCCGACATAGTCACTATCGGGGATAGAGTCGAGCAAGGTCTAAAAAGTGGGAAGATAGGAAAATTTCCCGAAAGCCAAGGGTATAAGAAGACTTTTGGGGGAAATGAAATCAATGTTCTAACCTCTTCCGCTACTCCTCGAACGGCCAAAGCATCACCAAAAGCAGAAAGGGAACTTGATAAAATTCCTATAAGCTACACAGAGTTATTCCCTCAATTGGTGAAGGCATCCATGCTGGTAAGAACTCCACCACAAAGAAAGCAGCAACCGCCTTACCCACTTTGGTATAGGCCCGAGGAAACATGCGATTATCACGCCGGGGCAGCATGCCACTCCATAGAAAATTGCAATGCTTTGAAATCTCGTGTGCAAGAGCTTATCAATGCTGGGCAACTCAAGTTTGAGGCCAACACAACACACATCAAGGAATGACTAGATGAGTAACCATTTTGGGACGATAGTTATTAGAGGCTCTCTTTTTTCAAAAAAAAAATGCTCAAACTCATGAACTTCACCTACGGTCACGAGTTCAAAAATAAGGGCTTGTACAAGTTCTTTTGCATTCATCAAATAATATATGTCGTTTCATAAATCTCTTGTGTGTCACACATTAAATTCAAAATTAATCACCATGAAAAAAAAAAAAAAAACAAACATGACCGAAGATAATAAAATTAATCAAAGCTTCGAACATCTACAACGCATTATCTGAGTCTAAGGTAGATAAGAAGATCACCTCCTCGAAACACACAAAAATAAGAAAGTGATCAGAAGAGTCTTACACAAGATTCTCATTGCATAAGAAGAGTCTTGAAAAAAAAACAACTTTCGCCCAATTTGGCCGACAAAGGAATCACAAATTTCGGCTCATGAAAAAACTCTCTTTCAACACCCATAGGTGGGGGCAACATCTTTCTCCTTGGTGTACGGGAATGGGGGGCAGTGTTAATCATCAAAGACGTTGGTCCTCCCAAACGCGGATGGTAGGAGATTTTGTCAAAGCAAAGAAGTGTTATGCAAAAAATAATATCACTTGCAAAATACTGCTAGGATGAAAACCCGTAAAGGGCACCTTAGGCAAAAAAAACATCAAAAGTTCCCGCTAGGACACGCCCTAGGCAAAAATTAGGGATCTAAAAAGGATAAAAATAGCAAGTGATGATTCTCATAGTTGAAAGCTAAAAGGCGGCTTGAACACTTCTACAAGGGGCCAAATTCTGCGAAGACTCTGCCTGAGACTCAGATATGTAGTTTAAGATAATTAGGAGAATGATTATAATAATTATCCAAGGAAATGTTTGTTTAAAAAACTTAAACACTCACCTACCTCTACTACCCATTCATTCTAAATCATCCTACCTCCATTAACCATCCAATCTCAATCATGCTTTCCTATCATTTCTGTCTTGTCCAATCACAATGACGTATATTGTTGATGGTTGTCAAAATTGAACATGTCAAAAAAAAAAATGACCCGCTGGGATGAAAACCCGCAAAAGGCGTCCTAGGCAAAAATTAGGGCAAAAAAAAAAAGAGCAAAAAAAATACCCGCTAGGATACATCCTAGGCAAAAATTAGGGTTTCTAAACAAAAAGAAAAAAAGAGCCCCAAAATGACTCAATACATCAAACAGCCAATATGACTAATGTTGCACATCGGTCGAAGCAGTCTCTTCGTGAGAAGGAGAAAAGGAGAGCCACCTTCTAAAAATAAAAAATAAAAAATAGATTAAAAAAGGGAAAGAAAAAAAAATCAAAACATGCATTGCACGCATCCAAAATCATTTCACACACTTAGAAAATTTTCTTTATCAAAGGGGAATTATTCAAAATATGTAAAATTACCATCATGCATAAATAAGCATTTAGCATTCTTTGCATCTCAATGAGAAAAAGCCAAAAAGGGAAACACAAGTTCCAATTGACATCACCTGAGCAAAAGTAGCCCAAACCAGGGGCATCAACAATCAAACAATCAGTCATCAACAAACCTCAACATGCGCCTGAAGAGGCATCACAATACTCACGTGGCAGGGGCAACACTAGAATCCCTGCCAACCATCAACTTCTCTACCCAACAACACAGGGGCAACACCTACCCGCATTAGAATACTCACATGACAGGGGCAACACTAGAATCCCTGTCACGCATCAACTTATTTTCCCACAATCACAAGGGCACCATCTACCAGCAATCCTCGTCTTCATCAGACGTCCTCCCAAAGAAAAGGGGGAATCACATCATCATCATCAGTAGGCAGCCTGGAGAGGCTAGGCATAATAATACTCGACATTTACTCAATTGCCCAAAATCACAAGGGCACCACCTACCAGCAATCCTCGTCTTCATCATACGTCCTCCCATAGAAAAGGGACAATCACATCATCACCACCACCAGGCAGATCTCTAAGCTTGGAATTAATTTCTAGACTTCAAGACGAGTTTCCATGTCATTTGCCATGTCAGCGCCACATCAGCAACATACTTGCATTTTTGTTAACCTTGTATTATTCATTTTTGGGCCAGACACATCCAGATG